CGGGAGAATCGCGAAAAATCGAAGAAAAACGTGAAAGATCGATCTTTTCACTACTACTGAAGAAGAGTAGTGTACAGCAGACCACCCTAGGAATGATAGGAGCAAAACAAGATGCACAACTGTTCAATTCAGCGGTGGAAAACGAAGAACTAGTTAAGCAGGCATGCATGAAGGGGGTGGTGACGTCGAATGAATGCGATCGATCTCATACACCCGACTACTCGCTAAAAATCGCTGACCTTTTGAGGTCATCGATCCTTTCGAGGACTGTAGATCGGAGGTAATCAGTAGGTGGACTTTTGTTGAGCTCGGGACTTCACTGGCCTCTGTTTCCACCTTTACTGACAGTTACTATTTTGTAATTACTTGAAATTTTTATGAAGATGCGTGGTTATAGGTATTATCAAAGTCCTCGTTTGTAAAGCTCCAAACTCCTCCCTACTGACAGAAACAAACGAAACCGAGAAACCGCTATGGATTCTGTTCTCTAGACGTTACTTTAGTGTTTGGACTTCAGATTACTGCAGTGGCTGTCGTCTTGCGTTCTGCGATGGTGACGACAATGGCAAATTAATAGCCCAAAAAGTCTACATGCGAATAATTGCTTTCCGCACTTTGGTCTCAAAAAGTCGAACAATTCAATTGGGAAAAATGCGCGTATTGGAGTATTAAAGACGAACGGTGCGTATGCGGTGCGGTTCCCGCGGCAAGTCGCGTGGCCGCCTGCTGCTCTGACTGCGTTCATGGTTGGCGACAGAGAAATTTAGTGTGGTCACTGGTCCGATGTCCTATACATTCTTTCACATGTTTCTACTAGTGCTATCTGTTGATCTTTGCGGCTCGTCGTTTTTCATGTCACAGGAGAGGATATCTTCTCAGAGCTTTTGTAATTCTGCAGTTTTATTTGTAGCTTAGAATCTGCCTTCACACCTAGCCAGAGCGACTGACGCGAACCTTGACGTGGATCCTGATCGGATATTCAATCCCGCCGTCCACCCAGAGTGAGCTTTGCCGCTGAGAAGTTCTTCACCGATCGTTTTCCAGAATTTTCGAATTACAACCTACCATTCGACACCTTCGCCGCTTGATCCTTTCTTTACCCCTCTCAGTCACGCGGAAAAGCAAGTCTTATCTCCACTGTTCTATTATATCTTATATTCTTCTTGTTCGACAAGAAGGCGGACCCTAACCGATAAGGGGAATATTCCAAAAAAGGACGCCTATCTATCTGCTTCTGGAAATACGAATAGACACGTTTACATGCTAACATATTTATTTTAAGCAATCTTTAGTTACAGATATCCTCTAATGACCTAGAATCATTATTATGACAATCACTAAATTGATTCCATCAATGATAAGGATGTACTTGATGTACAGTTAGTATCAAGAGCCACTAAACTAATGACAAGTAATGTTGAGTCGTTCCTCAAAGACAGCAGATTTGTAACAATACAGTAATCTTGAATCAGGACGCACGGATAGATTACTGGGACAGTACAGTAATCTATACATGGGTCCTGACTCATGGGCTGCAAGTGGCCCCTCGTATTTTGAGAATTCAACAGCTTCTGCCCTACAGATACTGTACCACAATGTCCGCAGTCTACGAGTTCGTTAAAAATTAGAGAGGTGTGGATGCTACTGTAGCTGGAGAGGGACAATCAGCAAAACTTTGGCCTCTGATTAAGGAAATGGAGATAACATCCAGAGGTTAGAGCGTCTCCGTTTTCATCCTACCTGTATTTCTTCAGGGTGATTCTAGTTCTATTTAACATTACCCTTAGAGAGACCTAGCCGACCTTACTCAAGCGATACCGGGGACGATTTTGGTCGAAGGGTGCAGATGGTAGAAAAACGAGCACGGATCGAGAGTCTCCCCTTCATTCCCCATCCCAACTACAGTAGCGCCAAGGTGAGCTTTCAGTCGTCTTCTTCTAGGATTAACCGATCAAAAGAGTGTTTCCCTTGAATGTATACTCAGGCACTTCCATGTTCAACGGAGCAGGTCCCTGAATTTCCATATACTGTAACCATTAGGAAGTGTCAAAAGCAAAAACTAAGTGCTTACCTTTCGTATTCGTCCAGACGCATCAAAATGTGATCCATGACATGGACAGAAGTAGGCACCGTAATCACCGGCACCTACTGGAAATGCGGGCATTTAATTCCAGAAAAAAACGGTCATGTGATTTTTATGAACTAACTTGTAGGTACACATCCGAGATGGGAGCAAACTCCAAGCAATACAGACCATTCCGGTCTCTTCACACGCTGATCATCATGTTCGGGGTGGCGTAATTCGGACAGATCCACAGCTCTCTCTCTGAGTAGAACTTCAATAAAAGGATTTGTAGCTGTTACTATATATCATTGCTTTTCACCGCAGTATTAATCATTATCATTAGTTTTTATTGTCATGGAACTCTCCTAGTTCATATCTGATGCATCTGGTTACCTGTGCTAAGTCATAGGTAAAAGCAAAAGAATTTGGTGGGAGGTTGGTTTTTTGAATGCAGCGTGTATACTTTAAAATTTTGTTGATTTATTTATAATTGGATTTATAGTTTTATTCATTTATATTTTCACTTGGAAAATATTGAGTTGCTACAAGGACGATTTTCGGTCTCTATTACTACTTCCGGAGCATATCAGTAAGAAGTACGAGTATGAGCTGCCAGTTGTTATTGATGTAGCTTTCACAGCTGCCCAGTTTCCCCTAAGAAATTGAACAGATGGCTGTTCCTAGAGTTCGGTTGCCCTGATAAATGGGATTAACTTTTTCACTATTCATCTAAATTGTATTGCTTCGGGTAGCTCGGAATGGACTTGGAGGTCTATCTTTTTGGTAGGCCACTGGACTTCATTTTTGGTAAGCCACTGGACTTCATGGTGTGAACTAGGGAATTAATCAGAATGGAAGAAGCTTCCCCACAGAAGGGCTCGGGACAGGGTCTCGATTCAAAGCTCCTCAGAATGACCCATAACGGGTAGACTTTGTACAAGTTATTCATTAGAGTTGTCACAATCACAAATCAGGTCTTTCGTATTTTTCCAGATTGGATTTGTTGTCTATTATTCATTAATAGAATTTAATTATTAGACCGCTTATTAAATATTCATAATTTGAATTTAATATTTGTTTGATTGTGTCGAAGTAAAGTTTGAGTAGTGAGGCAGTCCATAGCTTGGCGATATCTGTCGGTACGAGCTTAGTATAAACGCCGATAAAGAATTCAACTCTGTCACCCGTTCGACCGAATGTGAACCCTCTTAAGCCCGAATTCGAATGTGTTTAGTGACTTGGGGTCAAAAAATAACGCAAGCCCTTTGACTGCACCTTACTACGGATGGCCGGAGAAGGCCTTCAACTTAATACTACTGAATTTGGCTCAAACCTTTCAATCTCGGCCTGTGTGCGATGCCTGACGAAAACCGGCTTGTCACGCCAGTTAAAAGTCCTCGTTTCGCCTTCGGGAATCTCGTCCAAATTCACCTCAATCGTGGATAAGGCAATCTGATCAGCAGGTATCCACTGAAAATGAAACTTTCAAATCTGTTGGTAAGAGGTGACTCCGAAGCGAAAACAAGATCACCCAAACACCTACCTTGAATTTCACATTGATGAGATTTATTTCTTTGGCGGCCCAGAGTGCCATCGCTCCACCAGCTGAAGCAGAGAAGTAATAAGTATGTGTTTGCGGGGTTGGGAAACTGCTTGGTAACTTGGATTTTTTATATTTGCAAGGGAAAAAAATCGAGATCTGAAATCCTAATCCCAAAAAATCTCAGTTTTTAGAAGCCAGATATACCTCCGTAGTAAATGGAGTGGAAAAGAGATCGCCGTTGGTCTTCGGTATCTCGTGCAGCTTTTTGAGTATCCAAAGTACTCTCTCTACGGTAATATGAGAAGTCTGGGAATTTGATGTCAGTATGGGCGAAACGGCAAGACGACACTAAAACTCAATTATGAACGTGATGTTTTTCAACTCAAAAGAAGAGGGTACATTTATTCGAAGAGATCCGGTTATCTTCCTGCTAAATGAAAGATGTTGGAACACTATAGCAGAGTTGGATGCGCCATGTAATTGCGTTCGCTGCCGGAGAGCTTTTAGTAATTCTCAAGGGCTCTGAGTAGTCCACGCTTCCTTGGAATACTTCGACGGACCAACATTATGGTCGTGAATTCGGAAGAATTTACTTACTGTTCAATCCACCCAAGGCTGAATGAGGGCAGAGCAAAGTTCCACGGTTAGTAATGTGAGTTGCTACTGCTTGCGGGGATTTATAAGTGATGAGTGCAGTAGTGATGTCCTTGATTGGTGGGACCTTGAAAAAAGTGTTTGCAAATCCAGTTCATAAAAATTGTTTCGCCAAAAACTCTTTGATAGTGTTATACCTTCAACTGTAAATCATAAATTACAGAAATAAGTCAAAATGGAATGGTACACAAATAATATCAACTTTCAGCATAATGAATAAGGGTTCTGACTGATATAGTGTGTCGGGTCGCCTGACCAGGTGAACTTAGAACCTATAGACCCCAGCAACGAGTATTTTGTCTAAATTTTTCCTGGGTAACTTGTAACAAACCTCCGAAGCATTCGGAATCTATAAAGGAGGCAAATCGAAATATCGAGACAACTGGTAGAGTGCACTAATGCGCTTCCTCCACTGTAAGCACTGTCCTCATTTGTCTCTACCCAGGTCTCCTTGTAGAATACATGCTCCCATGCAAATCAACTTTGATGGCATTACTGTCTCTGGAAACTACACCTATACAGCTATAACTTACACTACATTATTATACAATTCAAAAACACAGGTCCATTCTCACATGTCGTTATCGCCCCCCTCCCCCTTCTGCCAAAATGTACAGATACTTCCCCTGCTGAGGATGAACGAGTAGGTTTCTCTTGGCTGTGATTTCCACCTCGTGAATTTGACCCTGTTCTCTTTTCTCTTCATAAAAATCTTTGAGCCGACATGCAAATAATGAGCAGCAATAGTCGTAGGAATTTTCCGATTCACTCAATAAGCAGTTTGCAAATGGTAAGTAAGCTAACCAGTAAGAGGAGAAAAACAACCATGTCGAGCAAAGATTGGTTAGAAAATTGAAAAGTGAAGCTGTAAATTTGCTACTTCGAAGACAATGGTGTCATCTCCCTCCCACGCCTACGCTGCATCGCGATAGGGAACTAGATGTTTTAGAAGAAATGAGCTGCTGCTCGGACGTCATTCACATCCTTACGGTGCTTTTAAA